TATCAAGAGGCTGAACCTATGTCTGATTGGTATCCTAGAAGAAGAAAGGGAAACGGAGAACAACTTGGAGCAAGTATTCCAGGAGGTAATCCAAGAAAACTTTCCCCATCTCACTAGAGGTGTGACCAGTCAAGTACAAGAGATACAGAGAATGTCCTCAACCAAATGAACTTAATAAATACCTACAGATTATTCCACCTAACAACCACAGATTATACATTCTACTCATCACCACATGGAACATACTCCATGATCAATCACACCCCTGGCCATAAATCAAGCCTAAACAAACTCCATAAAGTTGAAATCATGACATGCATGTTCTCAGACCACAGTGGAATAAAAATAAATATCAACACCAACAAAATTTCCCCAAAGCCCACAAAGACATGGACACTAAACAGCATGATGCTGAACAACTACTGGGTCAACACTGAAATCAAAGCAGAAATTAAAAGATTCCTGGAAACAAATGAAAATGAAGAAAAATCTTACTAAGACCTCTGGGATGCCATGAAAGCAATTCTAAGAGGGGAATTTATATCTCTACGAGCACACATCAAGAAAACGGAAAGATCACAAGTTGAGAGTCTAACAAATCACCTAAGGGAGCTGGAGCAAGAAAACCACCAAAACCCCAACTTGAGCAGAAGAATCCAAATCACAAAAATAAGAGCCCAAATACAGGACAAAGATAAAAATATCATCGAAAACATCAACAAAGCAAAAAGCTGATTCTTTGAAAGGATTAACAAGATTAATGGACCCCCTAGACAGAATGACCAAGGAAAAGAGAAAGAAAGCCCAAATAAACACAATCAGAAATACAAAAGATCAAATCACAACTGACCCTGAAGAAATACAAAAGATTATCGAAGATTACTATGTACACCTATATGAAAACAAACTTGATACCTAAATGAAATGGAGGACTTTCTAACATCACACAACCTCCCCAGATTGAAACAAGAAAACATTAAGACACTAAATGGACAAATAACAACCCAGGAAATTGACTCTGTCATTTGAAAAAAAAAAAAAAAGCCCTGGAGTAGATGGCTTTCCAGCAGAATTCTACAAAATGTACAAGGAGGAGCTGATACCAATCCTATTTAAAGTATTCCAGGCAATTGAGAAAGATGGAATTATACCCAAATCATTTTGCTAAGCTAACATCACACTGATACCCAAACCAGGTAAAGCTTCAACAAAAAAAAAAGAACTACAGGCCAATATCCCTTATGAACATTGATGCAAAAATCCTCTACAAGATTCTAGCAAATCAGATCCAATAACACATCTCAAAAATCATCCACCATGATCAAGTAGGTTTCATGCCCAGGATGCAGGGCTGGTTCAACATTCACAAGACCATAAAAGTAATTAAATACATCAACAGATGTAAAAACAGAACCACATGATTATATCATTAGATGCAGAAAAGCTTTGATAAATCCAGCATCCCTTCTT